CAAAATGCAATAAGCATGACACATGGGTTGAAAATTTTTACAGAAATTCTCAATTATACAAATCGCCTATTCTATTACCCAAAGTCTTCCCTTTTGAAGGCTTGTCTTCAAATAACATTCAGGTGGGCACATCAGTGTCTCAGTACTGTCTGACTGACACAGACAGGACTGGAACAATTGAAAGATTGTGTATTGGTACTGGGAAAACAGAATGTAATTGTGGCTCTGTTACTAACTCTCTGAGTAATCATGGGTAATTCTTTTCCTTCAGTGTATCTTGGTGCCCATGGACATGAAATAAAATAACAAGGCAAAAATTCCTTTGATTTTTCACATTCTATGACTTCAGAAACTTGAATCACAATCCATACATCTTCCATATCACTGCTGGAGTCTAAGGTTATCCTGACACAAATAGTGCTTCAAAACTTCCAATGAATTTTTATGGTCTTGATAGCAATGCCCAGTCATTTGGATTTTAATAACAAATAAAACGAAACTAAATGCAACAAGATGATGTAAAGCTATCAATTCTTAATTTTGCCAATTAAATGCCTTAGAACTAATAATATCATTTCACAAAAAATATTTTAATATAAACATAAAAATAGGGCTGGATATGTAACTCAGTGGTAAAGTAATTGCCTAGAATGAACAAGGCACTAGCTTCAATGCCCAGCATGGCAGAAAAAATATGAATAAATAGAACAAGGATGTTTTAACAAAATACACAGAGATAATATAATTATGGGAAGAGTCCTTTATATTGAGTAAATTCATCTGTACAGAAAAATTCACTTCATTGTCCTTTTGTTATTGTTGACACAGAGTCTCACTGTGTTGCCAAGGCTGGTCTTAAACTTGTGGACTCAAGTGATCGTCCCACCTCAGCCTTCTGAGATGGTTGGGCTGTATACATGTAGCATCACCCTTGACAGTTTCTTTTTAACATTTTCATCATAAACCAGTGAAAATTTAATTAGTAGTAATTACTAATAGTTACTTATTACTGAAGATCTACCATGAAAAGCATGTGGCCTTGCAGTTATTTATTTATGCAAATTTGTAAACATTTTATGTACTGATTTGACTTTCCATTTTTTCTTTAAAAATGTGTAGTTTTGCTAGCACTTGGTTCACATCCCCATGGGAATTAAATAACCAGTATTTAAGAGTTTTCTTGTTCACTTTGGTCATCTGTGTAGCCTACCTGGCCTACAACCTCCAAGATCAAGACTTCTTTCTTTGGACTCATTGAAATCTTTACTAGAATTAACTAAAAAGAGAAAGAAGGAAAGGTGGAGAGCTATCCTGAGACAATCATCAGATGCTTTGAAGGTTTTATCAATCCCACTTAAGCACTATTACTTAAAATATTAACCCTTTTATGTTTAATCTTCCCTAGGCTTCCTATATTCAAAAAACAAAGTTTCTTTTTTTGAAAAGTTAAGTGTTGAGGCTGAGGCTAGCTCAGTGATAGAACACTTGCTTAGCTTATATAAGGCCCCGGGTTCAATATTCAGCACCAACAAATAACTAACTAACTAAATAAAGTATCTTCCTGGATCATTGAAAAATGCAAGTAAGTTGACAGGAATTGCACCAACAGCAAGATTCTATGCTGTTATGAACTCTCAATTTCCAGCAGGGGGCAGCTCAATGTTAGAAAACCATTGACAACAGACAGGAAGTTCAACAGATAAAAACGTTCTGGTGGCCTAGGAGTAGTAAGTTCAAGTTTTGTACTGCACAGTAGGGTGACTATAGTTTACAAGAATTTGTCATATATTTTACAAACAACTACAAGAGAGGAGTTCAAAGGTTCCCAGCACAAAGAAATGATAAGTGTTGAAGGTGCTGGAAATGCTGTTCTCAAGGAGACACACATGATTGCTTAAAATCTCATGTCTTTCCAACTACATCACCTGCCACTCCCTT